CATTACCGTACTGCCACAGGTAGTGAGGGGCACAGCCAATTGGGGCAAGTCCAGTGATCACGACTTTCCTAACATTTAAGTTGTACAAGTTCTGTGTCATCAAGGATAACATATCAACTAGGAGTCAATTTCAGTTACTGTATGCAAAAGTCAAGAAAATTTCGAAAAATGTATTAAAATTACAAGAAATTTTGGACGTCTCATGTGAAGAAAAATAAGTGTCGGGTAATCACACTATTATTCAGAAAAAATTTCTTGACTGAACTAGGTATGAACAATCCTGGTAAAACCGAAATATTAACTAAATTTACTACTAAAATACAGAAAAGGTAAAGAGGTTATCCTACGACTCTGTTTAGGTAAGGTGAAAATGAAATGAAAAAATTGGTTTCGTAAGAAATGTATCACGACCTTATTTTCTTTTCAATTACAAAACATAACATTTTAACATAAAGTTATGAATAAATTAAACTTCCCTATTTTTTAAAATTTAAATGGACTTGCTTGCTTCGGCGATGACCATGGGCAAGTATAGACTTATGTGCCAAACATTTTTCACCATAGAAGTCCTGCATGTCTGACACGCGAACATAACACCAAAGTAATGCATTCGTATTTTTAAATGGATGAATTTCATGATTTTGTTTTCAAGTATAATGACTGAGAAGTTAAATCTAAACATTGTTTTTACCTTTATCTCTTGCCAGAGTGAAGATGCCAAGAAGTGGTTGAAATGCCAAGGTAGGTACAAATTATCGACGTTGGAAACATTGAGCAAATAGTAATGAATGTAGTCGTTGATTCCAATAGAAATATAAAAGACAGAATCGGATATGAGATTGGTTGCAGCATCCTCACCCATGCTCAAAATGAACTGCTGAAGCGTGTCTGTAAATTGCTGAATTTGCTGAGTGAGGGAGATATGCTGACCCTGAATCAATTTATATATTAGAATTTGAACTTATAACATGTTCTGAATTGTGTGATCATGATTAATAGGAAAGAACATGAATCGGAGAAAATTGAATGAAACAAACCAATTCAGAGCCACTAGAGAGAATGATGCCAGCGCCAGCAGAAGCATAATTTACCCCATGAATCATATCATCCACTTCCCCTGTCTGTCCAAGATAACTTGGCACAAAGGGAAGCCCCAGACGCAGAGCTGATGCAAAAATTATCATAAATAAATCAATCTAATAACATTTAATTTTACTACACCAGAAATAACATTCAATTTATTTCAAGAAAAAAGAATCAAGCACAAGAAAGGGAAAATAACACATGCGTGAATTAGAAGGCTGTGAGTGATAAAGAAAAGATCTTTTATTCACCAAGAAAATCGACAGGGATCCTTCCGTTGGAGAATCTTCCGGTGGGTTGGTGGGTGTCGAAATCTCTTCCATAAGGAAGATGATCGGCACGTGCGAAGGTTCCAAGAAAATTGTTGGTTCCGCAATCGACGGAGGAGTCTCCGATGACGAACAACGCCGGCACCAGAGAAGAAGAAGGTGCAGTTGAGGGGCTGAGATTGAGTTGTTGCCGAAAAGGAGGATCTTCGAAAGGGGACAGTGTTCTTGATTCTACAAAGGTGGAAGATAGTATTACAGTAGATACTAAAAAGTACACAATAACGTTCCTACTCATTATCCTTCACTTTCCTTCTTCAATTTCCCATGCAGAGATTGAAATTTAACCATTCAAACTCAGAGTCAGAATGGTCGATTCTTTTGGCGGGCAACCATAATATATGCCAATCTCAGATGTCCAATATACCCTTTATAAGTCTCAGGCCCACAAGGTAGCCCGCTCCAATAATCAACCCGGCCCACAAAACAGAACAACTTCTTTTTATTCAGACAAGGGTAAACTGAAAAACAGTATCTACCTGACACGTGTGCAACGGTCCACCGGCCATAACGGTCATTGATTAAAGATACCTCAGAAAACTAAAACAAAACACATTACTATAAGGTCGGTGCTACACCGAGAGAAAATTATAATAATAAGATGTTTTTTATTTTTCTGGTGGTGTTGGGTACATAATAGATTTTTTAATCATTATTTTTTTAATCAAACTTCATAATAAATTTCAATTTCATTATCTCTTTATAAATGAAATGAAGAAAATAAAGAATAATAAGACCGTTCGTAGAGACTGTGTTTGGTTCATTTCAAATGGTTGATGATTGAGTCACGCGGCAGACCAGTGGGACCAAGGGCACATGAGTTGCAATGATCGATGCTACAAAGTAAAATTAATGAATATTTATTTATGTTACTAAGTTACATTATTAGTGTACCTTAAACGGCACTATGTGTCATAATGCATGGTATCTCTTAGTTTCATGGGACACCAAGAATAATGGTTTATTCCACTTATTTGAAACGCCAACACTTTTACTTTGCAAACTGCAAGGTGCTGAAATTCTTTTTAGGTAACGTCTGAAAGGCAATCAGAATGAATGCATGTACGAAAAGGAAAAAAACCCTCAATGGGATGATCCAACTGCATTAAAAATATTGTGATCACTAATTGTTTTGGTTATGGAATTGAGTTCAATGTATCAAAATATCAGGAATGCTTTGAAGATTTGAATGATTATTCTTGTTTTGTTGTCTATCTTAATTGTCTTATTCTTGTTTTGTTGTCTATCTTAATTGTCTGTTTAGTTAAACTTATAAGTACGTTCAAAAGACACTATGTCATTAAAGTAGATAAAAATTTGACAACTTTAATCGTTAATACATATTACATATTATTATTCATTTTTTATTTCAAAATGATAAGTTTTGAGTAATTATATTTCAATTGATGATAATTATACTTTATCTTAAACTATGTTAGAAATAATTTGACTATATGTTCAATCATGTTCCTGGTATGATTGACTGTACAATCACCATATGAGTTCAACAAAACAATATTAGATTAGGTGTATTTTAAATGTTAAAAACTTATAGTATTATTAATTTATGATATTGTATTTTTGATACATTTTATGTATAGTTTAATTGTTGGTATTAGTAAATGTTGAATTAATGTTTACCGATATGTGACAAAAGGAAACAAAACGCTCCTGGTTACCGAGTTTGGTGATATTTAACAATATTTACAAAATAGAGTGTGCACTATCTAAAAATGTTCCGTCACAGGTGGTTAGGTGAAAAAATTTATAAAAAGCTAACGGTTACAATACCGTTCTCCCTCTCTCATGTTGTTGGAAAGTGAGAAGTTTATTGGAGCAGATAACATAGGCGAAAACATCGCCCATCCCTGGAATTAGTTCAAACAATTCCTGTCTTTTCCATTTAAGTTCCCAGGCCTCCGACGTTGCTCCTTGATTCTTTCCCTGTGGTAAGAATCCACCTACCATTCGTAATTCAACATTTCCTACGAGAGATTCCTTCAGTGTCCATCACCCAAATTTGTTCATACATTTTATACATACGGCACTAGAATTCCTCATAGGCATGGCAATTTTTCCATAAAAAAATCGTTTTTTTCTTTGTTTTTCATTTTTTGGTTTTTATTATGTAATTGGGTCTTTTCGATCACTTTGATTGAAAGACCTTTTTTTTTTTTTTTCTTTCTTCTTCCTCTTCTTCTTCGTTGTAGATGGGCTCCTTCTGCCGTTAACGACTCAAGCGAGAAGGACTTGAGTTTAGGGGAAAACGTAAATAAACAAAAAACAATTCAACTTTGAAAGATGTCGGCTGATGTTGCTGTGAGACCGGCTCTGAAAGAATCGGTGCATTGGCAAGGGCGCTGTCCCGGCGAATCTATCCTGATATATATAACCGTGGACGGTGCTGTGACGCCAATGCGTGTGTCTGAGTCTGATTCGATTGCTTCAGTGAAAATGAGGATTCAGACATGCAAAGGAATTCCGGGGAATAGGCAGAAGCTGGTCTATGGTGGCAGAGAGCTTGCCCGCAAGGATGCACTCATCAAGGATTATGGTGTCACTGCCAGCAATGTTCTTCACTTGGTTCTCCGTCTCTCTGACATGATCTTCATTGTTGTAAGGACCACCGGTGGGAAGGAGTTTGAGTTTCAGATTGATCGACATAGAAATGTGGAGTACCTGAAGCAACGCATTAAGAAGAAGGGGAAAGATTTCATCGATCTCGACGGTTGTCAAGACCTTTTCTGTGAAGGAGAAGAGCTCCAAGACCAGAGCCTCTTCCGTGACTTCTGCAACGCCGATAATGGTGTGATTCATTTGGTAGCTCAAAAATCAGCAAAGGTTGATGCCAAACCGGTTCACAAAGATTTGGAGCTTTCGGTTGTTGCTGATGACTCAGAAGAGGGAGGGAATCAGGTGACGACGACAAAGACACGACCAAGTGGAGATTTCTTGTTGGAACCAGTTTTTGTGAATCCTAATGTCAATCTTTTTCCTTTCCTTTGGGACATGATTGGCTCCACGTTGGATGGTTTGAAACAAGGAAATCACCCTATGAGGTCCTCAGAGGGCACAGGAGGGACTTATTTCATGCAAGATTCAACAGGTATGGAGTATGTTTCGGTTTTCAAGCCCATCGATGAGGAGCCAAATGCGGTGAATAACCCACAAGGCCTACCGGTTTCGTCCAATGGTGAAGGTTTGAAAAGAGGGACAAGGGTAGGAGAAGGAGCTGTGAGAGAAGTTGCAGCATATATATTGGATCATCCAAGAGCAGGGCCAAGGTTGGTGTCAGGAGAAGCAGTAGGCTTTTCCGGGGTTCCCCCAACTGTCATGGTCCAGTGCTTAAACCAACACTTCAACCATCCAAACGGGTTTGATTTCTCCCCAGAGCATTCAAAGGTAGGGTCACTGCAGGCATTCATGAAGAATGATGGTAACTGTGAGGACCTTGGTCCAGGGTCTTTTTCTGTGGAGGAGGTGCATAAGATCACTGTGCTTGATCTAAGAATGGCTAATGCAGATAGGCATGCTGGGAATATATTATACAGGAAAGATGCAGATGGCCGCACTCTCCTCATTCCCATTGATCATGGCTACTGTCTACCAGAGAAGGTAAACATTCTTCATCTTTCCTTCACAGTTTCACTGCATATCACCATGTGTTTCTTGCATATATGCGTTGGTGTTTGGTTTCTGTAAGAAAAACTGTGTCTGTCAAGTATTTGTTTTACATATTCATAATGTGTTTGATAGAAAAGATTTGTTGATTGTGGAATGTGTGGACTGAAAGAAATGTTTGTGTTGTGTGTGCAGTTTGAGGATTGCACATTTGATTGGCTTTACTGGCCCCAAGCTCGTAAACCTTACTCTCCTGACACAGTTGATTATATTAAATCTCTGAATGCTGAGAAAGATATAGAGCTTCTGAAATATTATGGGTGGGATGTTCCGGTAGAGTGTGCTAGAACACTCCGAATCTCCACAATGTTATTGAAGAAAGGGGTTGAGAGAGGTCTCAGTCCCTATGACATCGGAAGCATTATGTGTAGGGAAAATTTGAACAAGAAATCTGTAATCGAGGAGATTATTTGTGAAGCCCAGGAATCAATGCTACCTGGCATGGGGGAATCTGTGTTTCTTGAATCTGTCTCCCAGATCATGGATTCTCGCCTTGACAAGCTTTCAAAATAAACTCTCTCGGATTCATAGTTATATAATGTAATAACAATAAATATATTTGCATGATAACTGTGTATGCATTCCATATTTGGATGGACTGCACTTGGTTTAAAATGTCTGTGAACCTCTTTCTCATCTCTCATCTCTTATATCTCATATCTCATCCATGCATTGCCTTTTTTCACAATTGTAATGACCTTTTGGGCAGAGGTTGAAGGGTCTCTATAACATGTATTATATTGAAATTTTATATATTCTAGGTTTCTGCGAGGGTGAACAGAAGTTGGATGACATGTGTACATAATTGTAATATGTTTAGCATGTTTACTTTTGAAAAATATGCCTCTTGTTTTCTCATGTTTTAGTTATGAACCAGACATCTTACTGTCTGATGTTGCCTTTGCCATATTTCCTATATTATTTGTTTATTCTTTATGTTACGTCTTTTCCTCTTGTATGAACTTCAAAAAACATCTTTAAGTTTTCTTCATTTGCCATTTTAACTTTCTTCAGTTTATACTATAGAGACAGAGCACTCGCTTGTCCTTACTATAATACATAGTTTTTAAAAATATTTTTATAAAATATTTTACATTTTCGATTGGAAGTAACAACTATGAGTAATTATAGGATCTAAAAGAGAATTCTTAGAAATAAAGACAAACGATATTCATAATTACATTGCATACAAATAAAACATAAATATATTTAATTACAGAGAGAGGCTCAATAACTGTAGTGATTAACTAACCTAGACGTCATTAGTTTGTCTATTAAAAATTCATAATATAGCATGCTAGATTATATATGGGTTTTAATTTATATATAACCTTCTAATTATTTTTTCGTAAATATTTTTTAATCAATTTTAGCTGTTTAAATTCATTTTAAATTGAATTCTTCTAAAATAAAATGTTCGAAGGTCATTTTTACTAAATATACCCGCTAATAAACTTAGAACTTCACTTTTAATAATTAAAAAAACGTATTTTATTTACCAACTGATTATGAATATTTGATTTTAAGAACATATGGAATATGGCATGCTACTATTCCTAAAGGATAATGATACTTTGACAACATTTTTATGACAACATTTTAACACTGTCTACGTGTTATTCTGTGATTGGTCTATATTGGTGTTTATGATTATTATTATTGATTGTAGAATAATTTTGCACCAATCACAGAATGACACGTAGAGAGTGTTAAAATGTTGTCAAAAAAATGTTGTCAAAGTATCATTGTCCATTCATAAAATACGTGGTTGTAATTAACGAAATTTAGTGTAATTTGGAGCAATTTAAAGAATAAATTCAATTTTAAATAGTTCAACGAAACAATTCAGTTTATTTCATTCGAATAATGTTTTAGTGTCCCACAATTTACATTTCTAGTTTTATATAGTTTTGATAATTTAATCTAGTTGGTTTTGCTCATCTGTTTACAATAATACCTGGTTGATATGTATGATGGATGACATTGGTAAAAAGAAGTTTGTGTGTGTAATTTTCATCTGCACCACATTTTCATTTTTGTGATATCTCCATCATCTCTCCCTTAACAAAAGAAAATGGTGCAGAAGCTCATAGGCTCCTCATGAACATTTTACCACTGCTAACCTCATGAAAAGCTAACAGTTAACATAGCAAATAAATCTTATCCATAATACTAATAATGGATCATTAAGATAAAAAAACATAGAAGTAATTACTACTTTTGGGGTAGGGTCATCTAAGTTATGTTATGTCTTCAAAGTCCGAATGATGTCCACAAGTCTAAGTATTATCTTGATATGTCTCTCTAAACCGTTAATACATGTTACTTATTTTTTTATCTCAAACTTTTATTTATAAGTTTTAAAGTTAATTTTTAATTAATCTCAATTTAATTACAGTCTAATTATGTATAATTAATATTAAAGTTAATGTATTTGGTCTAATCTATGATCAACCGATTTACTTAGTATTTGATCAGATTCAAAAATAATCCATTAAATAATTCGAACTATAATAATCATGATCAACTAGTTTACTTAGTAACGGATCAAGTTTAATAATAATTCATTAAATAATCCGAGAAGATAATACGTAACAACTACAAAATAATCAGCTTCTCAGAAATTAAGTGGACAAAAAAACTATGGGACCACTCTAACAGATTCCTAAAATCAAATATATATGAATGGCCCTAAGATCTGAATTGGCCACTCCATAGATATAAATCAAATGGACCGATCCAACAAACTAGATTCCAATCAAATAATCAACCATAATCATTCACTTTCATGCCTACAAGTTACAGTTGGAATGGGACAAGATATTTACCTCACTTGTTGATTCATGTCTGGTAAAAAAGCCGTGCGAGATGGCCTTTGGTATTGAGAAACTATCTCCCACTACTACCTGAGATCACGTAACGAATAAATAAACTTAATCCAACCCTGATCAAGAAAACTCATATACCACAGTTTATATTATTTCTCGAGAAAGTTAATAGAAACTTAGTCCTATACTGAAACATTACAGAGTTCATAAATTTAAAAAAAATGGAGGGTCCACTGCAAGACAAAAAATTCCACGTAAATAGAATTGGATTGAAGGCAAAAAAACAAATAATCAAATAAGCAGCATGAGCTACGGTCCTACCCACCTCTTCACACGCTGCAAATTTCTTCACACACTCCATGTGCTCGTGGCTTTTGTTGTGTTTTGTTTTGTTATGCTTTGATTTGTTGCATTCATCATCTTCATCACATCCCTTAGATACTTCCTCTCTCAGAGCCATGGCGAAGCACGAGAACCGCACGAACCTGGCATCCTGTTTTGTGGCCACCATTTTCCTGATCTTCCTCCTCATCGTGGTCTTCCTCCTTTACTTCACGCTGTTCAAGCCTCAGGATCCCAAAATCGCCGTCAGCGCCGTCCAGATCCCTTCCTTCTCCGCCATTAACGGTACCGTCAACTTCACCTTCTCTCAGTACGCCTCCGTCCGCAACCCTAACCGTGGCACCTTCTCGCACTACGACAGCTCGCTCCAGCTTCTCTACCACGGCACACAGGTCGGCTTCATGTTCGTCCCCGCCGGCAAGATCGCCGCCGGCAGGACTCAGTACATGGCCGCCACGTTCACCGTCCAGTCCTTCCCCTTGGGCCCGGGGCCCACCTTGGTGAATGGTCCCAGCAATGTGGGGCCCACTATGGAGATGGAGTCGAAAATAGAGATAGCTGGGCGCGTGAGAGTGTTGCACCTTTTCAGTCACCACGTGGAGGCGAAAGCTGAGTGCAGGGTCGTCATCGCCCTCACCGATGGATCCGTGTTAGGCTTCCGTTGCTAATTGCTAATTCTTTCTTCTTATTTTGTTTGTAACCGTAAACTATTGTAACTGTAGGGGTTACCACATTAGTATCAGGAGCTTAATTCATTTTCCAAATTATGAAAAACTAATTTAAAAGAAAGAAAAAATAAACTTACTATAATTAATTATGAAACCATTATGAAAAGTTAAAATAATTGTCAACTTATTTTTTTCATTATATATTCGATTAGGTAAATATAATTAAAAGACCAACTGTCAACGTACTTTTTTTCTTACAACATAAATATAAAGAGATCGCAAGTAATTTTAACGAGAAAAAGATCTCATTCAAATGGCGTAAAAGCTTAGATTAATCTAATACAAATGTTATATATAAAATATTTTTACAAAAAATAATGGATTGGTGCAGTAGAGATGTTACATTTATATAACCAAAGTTGTGGTTGAATTTCTAAAATTTATTATGCAGTATATTTCTTTAAGAAAATGACGGCTGCAAAGTGTGATATGACTGACAGATGAAGAAATGGAACACTGAACTCCGTGAGAACGACGATGACGACTTAAATCTTCTCGACAACGTGAAGTTTTCATAAACATTTATATAGAAGTAAAAAATGACATAAAATAGAACAAATTATGTTTCTTATTAAGTTAAAATCAACTTTAATAATCTGTTATCTCTATTCACATAAAAGTGGCACAGCTTTAATTTTTGCATAAAAAGTAACACCAATTTTAATTGTCCGAATACAAACGAAGTTTTACATCATATAAAATAAAGTTTTCCATCAAATAAAACAAAAAATAACAGAGATTTATATACAAATAAGATATCCCATTTTAAAGTAATATAAAAAACAAATCTATCTGTTCTAGAATGGATAATATCTTACGAATATGATATGTTTTGAACCAATCTCCGTTAATAACATAACAAACAAAGAAAGCATAGCTCAATAGATATACCAATATATTTACAACCACCATAAGAATTAATAGTTGTAGAGTTTGGATTCCAAGCTTTCACAGAGAAACCCACCAATATATCACAACAATCGCAAGAATTTTTAGATTTGGCAGTAGAGCTAGGATTCCACACTTTAAAAAATTGACTGCACATGGAAAACCAGAGACAGCATAACTCAATTCACATCTACCAAGCAGTATATTACAACTACAAGAATGATTAGTATTGGTAGAGCTTGGATTCCAGGCGTAAGTCGGGTTTCCACCATTGGTGAATCCCATGAGCTTCTCTGAAATCTCGTGAAGGAGTATGATTAACCGTTAGAGATGCAGAAGGAATGAGGTGAAGAGGTTCTTCAGATTCCTTCCCCAAAGCACCCATCAGTAGACAGCCAAGGGAGGTTTGGGTGGCTAACTTTTCAATGCTTCCTGCACCAATCTCCTCCATTTTTGTTCTGTGCTCAAAGTATCCGATATACTCACAGCAGATAGGGTCAGATGGATTCACAAATAAGCATGGAACCCAGGCAGACAAAGCAGCAAACGGATCAAAGGACAAACTCTTCTTCTGCTTAGCCTTCATAGCAATGGCAATTCCTGCTGTTACTACACTGCCAGCAAATCGAAGCCCGTGTTTCAATTTCTTATCCTTAATTCTCTCAATTGGAGCAGATGCATATGGAGGGTTGAACAGAAGAGACTGAATAAATACGCCTGTCTTGGCCATGGTTTTCCCAATGAGCATTGCCATTGCTGATCCTAGAGAGTGGCCAGCTAACCAGATATTTGAACCACCCACAGTAGCCACCATGTTTCTAACAGCTTGGATAGCTATCTCAAAGCGTGATGTCTGATGAAGCCCATTTCTCACGAAGTGGATATCCAACTCAATGTCACGGGAGACTGAGTCTGCTTTGGTTATAGTCCCTCGAAATGCAATTACATAACATGGACTTCTGTGTACAGTGTCATTGCATATAGAAGTTGGAGGCTTGAACTCATAAATTGCACCAAAGATGGAAGAATCAACATCGTCAACAAGTGTTCGAAGCAACTGAAAATGGAAGAACGTCCACCAAGGCAGTGCAAGAGCATCGGGACCTTGTCGTCGTTCTTGTCTGTCCTTCTCTAAAACATAAACACCTTGGACCAAACTAGCAGCAACTGACTTTCTATGATGTGCATTATCCCTATATATATGGAATGTTCCATTGACTATTAACAAAATCCCAACAGCCAAATAGAAAACACTGATGAAATTTTTAGGATTCAACATCTTATTAATCTATTAAACTAATACTACATTGCAGAAGCTTCATGGCCAAAAGGAAGAATAGTCTCTAACGATTTTAGTTCTTTGACAAACTGTGTATTCCGTAAAATTTCCAAAGAAGATATATAGTTCTCAGACATCACTATTTATTAGCAGATATTTTGATGTAAACATGTCTTTATGGACACTGAAAATTTGCATTAATGCATGATCAAGGCACATCAGACATGGTGAAGAATAACTACAAGTGCACAACACAGAGCAAATGAGATTATGTAAGAACAAGATGGGGAAAAAAATTAAGAAAAAGAAGGAGCTCGGAAGATTTGTTTAAAGATCTTACCAGTCAACACATGTTAAGTGTAAGGGTCCAGAGCGATCAAAATATTCCCTCTCAGAAGCCATTACACCCTACAATTCAAAAAGAAAAAAGAAATCTGATGTTTCAATTATCAAAAAATAACACAATTCAACAACTGAAAACCATAATCCACAACCCAGTGGCTGCACTACATACATAAGCTGCAAAAGAAATGAAGATTAAGAAAAACTGAGATCCCACCACAACAAATACCAAGAATACACAAAAAGAAAGGTTTTTGGAACTCGCCTCACTCTTGTGAAGCAAAGTAGGTACCCTCTGCTCAATCAATAACCTTTCATACTAACAATTTAGAGGAAAAAACCATCTTTTGTATCAAAAACATGCCAATGCGCATTCAGCATTTGACACTCCACGGTTTGATTCGCCCAAAAATTATGTTTGTGAAATTGAGATCCAGCTTATACAATAAAGGTAAAAGGGCTAAAAAATAAAATAGAATATAATGAAGAAAATAAAATAAAATGCAGCAACAAATGATAAAGGAAACTGTATGAACCTTGAAGAAGAGAAAATCAGGGAAGAGATCGCACAAGAGATTAATTAAAAATGGAAATGAAGCTTTAATGTCGGAGTGGTTTATCAGTAGTTGGTAGAAGTACCCAAAAACGTCACCGTTTTCGGATCCAAGGGAATAACCGAGGTCGCTTTCTGATGCGAAATTTTAACTAATTTATTTATAAGAAATTAATTTTTCACAAAAAAAAATTATATTTATTTGATATTATTTTTTCATTTTTTACTTTTTATTTTAAGTATAAAAATTTATTTTTTTAATATTATTTTTACAATATGGGTTAAATAAATATAAATATAGGGGCATCTTATTATTATTTTTTGTATACATATTAGCGTAACAATTCATTGTGCCACGTGTGTTAATTACATACCTGTATGAGTAAAAATAAATAATTTATATTTTTGTCAAATATTACTATATATGTCAACTAGAGTGAATTCAAGTTCTGACAATACTAGAAATCATGAGTGCATCAATTAGAAGAAAATAAAGTTCAAGTCCTTACATAGTCAAATTTATCAAACTGATCTAAAATTGAAATTATCATGAAAAACTACTCTAATTATCAAAAATTAAAAACAACAAAAATAATACCAGTATCAATAGAGAAATTAAGTAAAAAGTATTGAATCAAAAATTAAATATAATTATATTTTTAAATATAAAAAATTAGAGAACTACAAGACATTAATTAAAATGGAGGTGCGGGGAATCGAACCCCGTGCCTCTCGCATGCGAAGCGAGCGCTCTACCATATGAGCTACACCCCCAAGATGAAAGTGTTTCTAACTGTTATAAATTTATTGATAAAAAAATCAAGTGTTTTTGTAATATAACAGACAAAATAAAATAAATATTTTTTCACATAAAATTTTGTATAAATTGTATCCAAAGACAGTAAAAATAGTAGCAACCGAAGACTCTACTACAACGCTCTAAGACGAGGAAGAGGAAGAACAACTTGTGAATTTCTCCGTAAGGTGCTTCCTGCACTTTCATGCTTTCCACCTTCAACCGATACTCTTTGAAATACTGTTTATATCCTATGGAGATAAATAAAGTTGGAGTGTTTTTATTGTGTTGTAAAGGTTGTGGTACCTGTTCTGGTGGCGGCCGGTGGTGGTCAGTGGTGGTCAGTGGTGGTTGGTGATGATTCATAGGTGGATATGGTGTTTAGTAGACGTCGCCGGCGTTGGTAGGAGCTGATTCTAGTTCATTCCTTTTGGTTGAGTTTTTTTTTTTCGTTTTCCACTCTGTAGTTTGGATTTGACTTGGATTACACATTCGAGAGATGTTTCTGATTACAGAATTTAAAGATACAGTAGATTACACTGTTTGGAAATGTTTGGGATTATATAATCTGAAATGCATATATTTATGTATTAGGGAATGCATAATATTTTTTTTTGTTTCTTTTCACACATAATTTATAAATATTTGGAAGAAGATATTGATCTCTTAATTTTATCACAACTTAATAGTAGAAATAGCATTCATAGCAAATAAATTATAAATACCCATAATTTATAATATTTTTATAAATATATGGAAGACTATATTAAATTTATAATAACTAAATAGTAAAATTAATATAGTATCAAATAAATTACACATACCAGTTTTATTATAGTATTTTCATAAAAATCAGGAAGAATTTATTAAATCTTTTGAATATATGATAATTCAATTGTAAAAAGAATATTAGTATAAAATAATAAGAAATACAGTATATTGAACTATATCTTAGACACAGAAAAAAAATCTATATTGGTTCTCTGATCTTGAGATTCGAAACATAAATTCAACTGCTAGTGAAACAGAGGTTTGAAGTTAACTTAATTGTGCAGTTCAGGAGAAAATGTAAATGTACAATCTTTGCATAGATCCATTGACAACACATGTTTAGGTCATTAAAAAATTTAATGTGGAATTACACAATTTAATGTAGTCTGTTTGGTTGTTTGTGGGTATATAAACTCTCTGATAGTAAAAGATTTTTACACACCTCAAAAAAATCAAACAATTTTCGGACTTTCTTTTCATTTGCTTGTTGTCATCCAAGCATATTGTGAGTAGTTAAAAACAGAAAAAAGCAAAAATAAAAATAGAACGCAACCATGATAGCTTCTGCATGCCAGAAGAAAAACTCTTCCAATATCTCAAAGAAATCCCAAGAACCAAGCTTCTCCAACTGCAATGCCATTGGTCTCAGTCTCAAATTTGCGTGCATGTTAGTATAAAATGCATAAAGATGAAAACACCACCAAACTTCACCTCATTCAATGAGTCAGACTGCAGTGAGGATTGTGCCATGGACTAAAATTTTAAACCTTTGTTTTCTTATTGCCTACTTGATCGGCCAGCTTCAGAATCTTTGAAAGATGAGCTACCATATGATCTCCAAACCCCTTTCCGGTGTCTCCTATTGTCAGTTTGATCCATGAAATTATTTCTAGTCATGCTATTTCCTTGGGGTTTCTTTTGAGAATTTCTTGTTTCTTCTTCAGAATCAAACTGTGATCGCTGCAGAAAGGGAATAATGAAGAAAATAAATACTCTCCAAAAGTTTGTAAGTTACACCAGTCAGATGAAAATGCAGAAAATACCTTGACAGGATCTGACAGGACTGCATATGCCTCTCCAATTATTTTGAAAAGTCTATCAGCATCTTTGCATACTTCTTCAACAATATCCTTCCATATCTGATCATCTCCACTGTCACTTCTGGCCAAAGATTGGACAGCCTACACAGTACTTAAATAGTTAAAATGATTTCTTATGTATATGAGGAATTAACAAAGAAAAGAGACTAATCAAACAACCTTGTCTGGGTGATGTCTTAGTGCAGCTTTGTGATAGGCCTTCTTGATTTCAGATGATGAAACTGAATGTTCAACTCCTCTGCCATCACAATCTGAATCAGCAGATGCCTTAAATGATTGATAATATCAAGATAAATTTGCAACAGACAACGCTCTCTAATGACAGCATTCTATTTCTGTTAGGACATGGAGTGTTTATGAAAGGAGAAAGAAAGTAGAGAAATAAGGAAGAATACTTAACTGCTGAACAGTTAAGGGGGGCGGGAAAAGGTCTATATAAGGGACCTCTTTTGTAGTTTCAGAGGGAGTTACCACATTCATTTGTGTTGATCGGTTTTGAACCTGGTGAAGGAGGTTAAGCTCCTGGTCGATAGATTGTATTCTTGATTCTTTTTGCTGTGAATACAATACAACTTTTACTCAATTCTTGACTTGTGATTACTGGTGTGTGTTAGAGAGTGAGTGAGTTGGGATTCTTACCCAGATTCCTAACAATTTCTGTCACACATTAAACATTACTTCCACTGATGACAAATTCTAACATAAAACTTGTTTAGTTTATCAACCTAGACACTGAGTTTATGAAAATCCGATTCTCTGATGTTCTGGCAATTTTAAAGAAAGATTTCCCTACATGTACAAAAATGCTGGCACTTCTATTCTCACAAACAAATGATTGAATCATCGAAAGAGAATGGAGTTATACTGATTGAGATACTAAGTAATGGTAAATAAGTACAAATTATTAGTAGAAGAGCTTACAAAATGAGGTATACATCAAGATGTATCCCCTTCTTGGCTTCCTCCTCGATTTCGGAAAGCCAAATTTGGTTATGTTTCAAATCATTATCATATTTGACAGATCTATCAGATATGCCATGCTGATTGCTGTTATCCCCATTCTCTTTCATGAGAAGAGAGACAACTCTCCTTACGTCACTCACTGCTTGGTCATAATCTCTGATCATCTCATATAAAGTTGCACGCCTGGAAAGTGCCTGGAAGAGTATAAATATACATACATTATCCTCAAATCATTTTAACAAATGTGAAGATGAAGTACTAATCCAAACAAGTCATTTAGTATCTGTTAAAGACGAATATTTGAAAAATGCTAAAAGTGAAATGTTACAGAGTAATCGAGGAAGGTTGAGGAAGCTTTAATTTTTGAAAAGCAAATGTGCCACTTATATAACCGATGATGACAGGTTTGTGTGGGTCTTTTCATTTTTGTTACAAGATAACCCTATGTAGTTTAATCCTATATATGTCAATTTATCTCTCCATGTGATATCATTATCTGATCTAAACAAAATTAGCTTCACTTGAAGAGAGAAAACCTTCAAGTATCTTCCATCAAGAGCTATGGCCAGATTGCAATCTGCTATGGCATCAGTAATTTGACCTAATGCTTTATGTGCAGCTGCACGGTTACCAAAGCAGACAGCTGTAAATGGGCGAGACTCCACATTACTTGATAAAGCAGCTGTATAATGTTCGACAGCTTCCTCATATTTTCCTGCCTGAAATGCTTCATTCCCTGCAGTCTACATTTGAATACATTTTGCATTAGTCCTACTATAAGAAATTTTCATGCTACAGTAAAACGACAAAAACAAATCAACTACAGAGAACACGTGCTTTCAAGATAACAAATTTAGCATTGTAGCTTATAAATGACTTCTTCTGTGTCCTTTGACAAAAGGAAAAAGTTGTATCAGAGAAGAATAGAGATGCAAAAGGTTCTGTTATTACTTCCCTGACACTTACGAGTTGTGACACAGTTCCATGTTAACTAAACAAGATGATGGTATACAAAAATCATGTAAAAGATGTCACGAAATGCAGAATAAGCTAACCTTATGATGCAAGAGCTCACGTACAGTTACAGCTAGTGGCATTAGGGACTCCAAAACCTTGCTTCCACTCCTGCAGGGACATTATCAAAGCTGATGTCCATATTAAAAATAGGTATCACCATCAAAATATGTCTATCTTTTTATTCCTTTTCAATGTACTTTTGAGGATCGACCGTAGAAAGGTGAATGTATCAGTTTTCAATGTTAATAATACTTACTTGTTCATGGCTGATACCTTGTCCTCTTGTTCCTCCAACAAAGAAAGACCCTCTTCAAGTTTTCCTAGGTGAAAGTAGGATTTAAGCATCATTGAGCACCTCCAAAACCTGAAATAGAAGCCTTTTGAAAGCTGTGCACTGTCCAGATCTGTCACTATGCAATCAGCATCCAAAGGATATGCATTCTTCTCGGCAGAACCAAAGGTTTCCTCACACAGCTGAATCACTTCCTCATATCTACATAGCTGATAGTTAAAACAAAAGTTATCCAACACAGGCTCAACTGCACGAACAGCTTAACGCTGACTTTGACAATTTTAGTAAAGTGCCAGCATATTATAAGACAGAAATGCAGACCATAAAAAGAGCCTCTGCTTTCATTTCAAGCAATTTTTCAGAGTACTAAGTTATCGCCAATGCCTCATTTATATGTTCCAAAGCTTTTTCTGCATCATCAGCTGTTCTTCTTTGCAAAAGTTCTTCAGAATGATTGATTTATTCCGATACTTTCTGCCATCCGTCAAAGGTTGTTATCAGTTCTGGAAGAGAAAGGTGAAAAAGAAAAGCAAATGTTCAAAGCCATCCATTATCGAAATAACTGTAAAGTGTCAAACCTGCGTCTTTTGCAATAGATCAGAGGCTTCCACGACAATTTTTTTATCTACACCCACATCAGTGCCTGACTGCATGCACATCTTGGAATACTCGGACGCATCTCCAACTTCTCCCAAAGCAAGGAAACAACTTAAAAATGGTGAAAAGAAACAAACTGAGGGATACATCATCTATTTTAATTACTAAATATTGAGCATTTTAGTTGACAAATGCAATGTGCTTAAGCACACCAACATGCTTTATCCTACAGCAAACCAGCATAATACAATTTTCACAATATCAGAGACACATTATAGACTAAGTAGAACATTTAATCAAAAGTCCTCTTGAAATTTTATGAAACTTTACACCAAAGCCAAAACATCTCCAACATAAGGTTATAAAAACTAAAACAATGTAATGGTTGGAATGCAAGAACTAGGTATCAATATTAATATGCATGTTACTTATCTTACCAATTAAAGATAAGTTGCAGGAAGAATAAAAACCTCCTTGACATAGGAGCCTTATTTAAACAGATTGTGTGATGTGGTAAAATCCTACATTCAAAACTTCGGTTTGTTTTCCTCTCTTGTTGAATTTTTTTTTTTCTGTTTCTCTACCTTTACAATGCCTACACATACCCAATGATTTCCTTTGACACACCATTAATATTCAGTAAAAACCTTAGTTGATGCCTCCTTCAATCCAACTGTTTTCTACCCAAGATTCACGCAAGAAAACACTGCTTTTAAAATGTTATATCCATGTGCCTTAGCCTACGTATTCCTTTGTCCCGAAATCAAAATTAATTTCAGACATCTTAAATCACTATCCACAAAGATTATAATCAAAATGGGAACTTACTTTGCAGCTCTAAGTCGCACCCTGAGGAAATTTGGATCAATTTCAGCAGCCAGCATACAATCTTCTATTGCATCTNATGTTCAACTCCTCTGCCATCACAATCTGAATCAGCAGATGCCTTAAATGATTGATAATATCAAGATAAATTTGCAACAGACAACGCTCTCTAATGACAGCATTCTATTTCTGTTAGGACATGGAGGGTTTATGAAAGGAGAAAGAAAGTAGAGAAATAAGGAAGAATACTTAACTGCTGAACAGTTAAGGGGGGCGGGAAAAGGTCTTAAGGGACATCTTTTGTAGTTTCAGAGGGAGTTACCACATTCATTTGTGTTGATCGGTTTTGAACCTGGTGAAGGAGGTTAAGCTCCTGGTCGATTGATTGTATTCTTGATTCATTTTGCTGTGAATACAATACAACTTTTACTCAATTCTTGACTTGTGATTACTGGTGTGTGTTAGAGAGTGAGTGAGTTGGGATTCTTACCCAGATTCCTAACAATTTCTGTCACACATTAAACATTACTTCCACTGATGACAAATTCTAACATAAAACTTGTTTAGTTTATCAACCTAGACACTGAGTTTATGAAAATCCGATTCTCTGATGTTCTGGCAATTTTAAAGAAAGATTTCCCTACATGTACAAAAATGCTGGCACTTCTATTCTCACAAACAAATGATTGAATCATCGAAAGAGAATGGAGTTATACTGATTGAGATACTAAGTAATGGTAAATAAGTACAAATTATTAGTAGAAGAGCTTACAAAATGAGGTACACATCAAGATGTATCCCCTTCTTGGCTTCCTCCTCGATTTCGGAAAGCCAAATTTGGTTATGTTTCAAATCATTATCATATTTGACAGATCTATCAGATATGCCATGCTGATTGCTGTTATCCCCATTCTCTTTCATGAGAAGAGAGACAACTCTCCTTACGTCACTCACTGCTTGGTCATAATCTCTGATCATCTCATATAAAGTTGCACGCCTGGAAAGTGCCTGGAAGAGTATAAATATACATACATTATCCTCAAATCATTTTAACAAATGTGAAGATGAAGTACTAATCCAAACAAGTCATTTAGTATCTGTGAAAGACGAATATTTGAAAAATGCTAAAAGTGAAATGTTACAGAGTAATCGAGGAAGGTTGAGGAAGCTTTAATTTTTGAAAAGCAAATGTGCCACTTATATAACCGATGATGACAGGTTTGTGTGGGTCTTTTCATTTTTGTTACAAGATAACCCTATGTAGTTTAATCCTATATATGTCAATTTATCTCTCCATGTGATATCATTATCTGATCTAAACAAAATTAGCTTCACTTGAAGAGAGAAAACCTTCAAGTATCTTCCATCAAGAGCTATGGCCAGATTGCAATCTGCTATGGCATCAGTAATTTGACCTAATGCTTTATGTGCAGCTGCACGGTTACCAAAGCAGACAGCTGTAAATGGGCGAGACTCCACATTACTTGATAAAGCAGCTGTATAATGTTCGACAGCTTCCTCATATTTTCCTGCCTGAAATGCTTCATTCCCTGCAGTCTACATTTGAATACATTTTGCATTAGTCCTACTATAAGAAATTTTCATGCTACAGTAAAACGACAAAAACAAATCAACTACAGAGAACACGTGCTTTCAAGATAACAAATTTAGCATTGTAGCTTATAAATGACTTCTTCTGTGTCCTTTGACAAAAGGAAAAAGTTGTATCAGAGAAGAATAGAGATGCAAAAGGTTCTGTTATTACTTCCCTGACACTTACGAGTTGTGACACAGTTCCATGTTAACTAAACAAGATGATGGTATACAAAAATCATGTAAAAGATGTCACGAAATGCAGAATAAGCTAACCTTATGATGCAAGAGCTCACGTACAGTTACAGCTAGTGGCATTAGGGACTCCAAAACCTTGCTTCCACTCCTGCAGGGACATTATCAAAGCTGATGTCCATATTAAAAATAGGTATCACCATCAAAATATGTCTATCTTTTTATTCCTTTTCAATGTACTTTTGAGGATCGACCGTAGAAAGGTGAATGGATCAGTTTTCAATGTTAATAATACTTACTTGTTCATGGCTGATACCTTGTCCTCTTGTTCCTCCAACAAAGAAAGACCCTCTTCAAGTTTTCCTAGGTGAAAGTAGGATTTAAGCATCATTGAGCACCTCCAAAACCTGAAATAGAAGCCTTTTGAAAGCTGTGCACTGTCCAGATCTGTCACTATGCAATCAGCATCCAAAGGATATGCATTCTTCTCGGCAGAACCAAAGGTTTCCTCACACAGCTGAATCACTTCCTCATATCTACATAGCTGATAGTTAAAACAAAAGTTATCCAACACAGGCTCAACTGCACGAACAGCTTAACGCTGACTTTGACAATTTTAGTAAAGTGCCAGCATATTATAAGACAGAAATGCAGACCATAAAAAGAGCCTCTGCTTTCATTTCAAGCAATTTTTCAGAGTACGAAGTTATCGCCAATGCCTCATTTATATGTTCCAAAGCTTTTTCTGCATCATCAGCTGTTCTTCTTTGCAAAAGTTCTTCAGAATGATTGATTAATTCCGATACTTTCTGCCATCCGTCAAAGGTTGTTATCAGTTCAGGAAGAGAAAGGTGAAAAAGAAAAGCAAATGTTCAAAGCCATCCATTATCGAAATAACTGTAAAGTGTCAAACCTGCGTCTTTTGCAATAGATCAGAGGCTTCCACGACAATTTTTTTATCTACACCCACATCAGTGCCTGACTGCATGCACATCTTGGAATACTCGGACGCATCTCCAACTTCTCCCAAAGCAAGGAAACAACTTAAAAATGGTGAAAAGAAACAAACTGAGGGATACATCATCTATTTTAATTACTAAATATTGAGCATTTTAGTTGACAAATGCAATGTGCTTAAGCACACCAACATGCTTTATCCTACAGCAAACCAGCATAATACAATTTTCACAATATCAGAGACACATTATAGACTAAGTAGAACATTTAATCAAAAGTCCTCTAGAAATTTTATGAAACTTTACACCAAAGCCAAAACATCTCCAACATAAGGTTATAAAAACTAAAACAATGTAATGGTTGGAATGCAAGAACTAGGTATCAATATTAATATGCATGTTACTTATCTTACCAATTAAAGATAAGTTGCAGGAAGAATAAAAACCTCCTTGACATAGGAGCCTTATTTAAACAGATTGTGTGATGTGGTAAAATCCTACATTCAAAACTTCGGTTTGTTTTCCTCTCTTGTTGAGTTTTTTTTTTTCTGTTTCTCTACCTTTACAATGCCTACACATACCCAATGATTTCCTTTGACACACCATTAATATTCAGTAAAAACCTTAGTTGATGCCTCCTTCAATCCAACTGTTTTCTACCCAAGATTCACGCAAGAAAACACTGCTTTTAAAATGTTATATCCATGTGCCTTAGCCTACGTATTCCTTTGTCCCGAAATCAAAATTAATTTCAGACATCTTAAATCACTATCCACAAAGATTATAATCAAAATGGGAACTTACTTTGCAGCTCTAAGTCGCACCCTGAGGAAATTTGGATCAATTTCAGCAGCCAGCATACAATCTTCTATTGCATCTCTCATCCTACCAAGAGACATGCGTGTGGCAGCACGGTTGCTATAGCAAAGCATCAACGCCCGGCGACATCTCTGAGATGTTTCTTTGGAAGCACAGTTAACTCCTTGTGTGTAACAATCCTCAGCCCCAGACAAATTTCCATTTTTATAGGCTTGGTTTCCTCTGTCACAAAGCATATCCAGTATCGTGAGTATGCTATCAAAAAGAAAGTAACTACCTAAACCTTTTGTTTGCTTGCATCATGCAAGTCCCATTTTCCTGAGTGTTCACTTTTCCTATAAATCCATTATGTAATGGCTATCTGATACAAGTATTATAAAATTAAGAACATCATATAACCAAGTGATAGCAAGCAAACTAAAAATATATGTACAAAACTAACCTGAGTCGCCACTTTTCACAGGCCTCT